TGAATGTACAAATGCGCTTTACACAATTGATGTGTGTATGGATTGTGATAAGAGTTGTATGAGCCCCTAATAAAATGATTTTTTAAAAAAAGAAATCATAAAAAAGAAGCAAACATGAATAGTGGGATTGTGGAATAAAATAACACACCTAGAAAATACAAGGAAAGGATACAACAACAAAGCTGACCCCGAGTCAGTGAACCAGAGGACCAAAGAGCTGATTGTACTGAATTCTGAGAGAAGCAAGGGGAAAAATATGCAAATACAATTGAGCACAGCCAGGTGGAACTGTGTGTGGCACACGATCAAGAGACCCAGCATCTGCAGTTGCAGGAATTCCAGATGACGAGGAAAAGAAAGAGACAAGAACATGTGAAGAAACTGGCAGACACGGCCAAGGCATGCACGAAGAAATAAGCCCACAAACCCAGGAGCTCGGCAACTTCCATTCAGAGTGACTTCAAAGAGTTCTTCACTAATGCGTATGTCAGTCAAACTTCTTATGACCAAAGATAAGGAAAGACGCTTGAAAGCAATGAAAACAGACAAACACAAAATAACACATAAGGTTCCTCTACTGATTCAAAGACCACAGGTTTGGTTTGGTTCTGTTTTTTTAAGACTGCAGGCTGACTTCACACACATTTTGGAGGGCAGTGGCAATAAAGATACGAAGGGGCTTCAAAAAGTGTATGAGAAAAAATTTCCAAATATATAAACATATATTCAGTATTCTCAATGGAAGACTCTTTGTCCAGCAAAACTGTTCTTAAAAAAATGAGCGTAGATTCAAAATCTTCCCAGATAAGCAAAGTTGTGGGAATTCATTACTACTGGACTTGTCAGACAAACGGCTAAAGGCAGAAGAACTGGACCCATAGCCAATCCACTACCCATGGAGGAAAATGTAACAAAGTGAAGGTAAGACCTCCCATAAGGCAATGGCACAGGGGAATCAAAGACCCTGCTCCTGGGAATTTTCAGTAGGTACATTTATTTGTTATGTGCCTTATAATAAATGTACAAGAAATAAATACAGAGTTAACCTAACAGACCAGAATGTATCATATAAAAAATGACAGCATAACAAAGTCTGGGGAAGGGAATAGAGAGTATCAGAATCTAAGTACACTGATGATCCTGTATGTTACTTGCTATTTTTAAAATTCTTGGTATCGAGGCGCCAAGGTACCAATATGTTGTTGTAAATATTGGGTCTCAAGCGTTATTTTATGATAACCACTAGGAAATATTTCAAAGATATACACAGAAGGTATTAAGAAAACAGATTCAACACGATAAAGCAATTTAGTATATGTAAAGACATAATTACCAAAAAACGGTATGAAAAAGAAATAGTAAGGCACACACAATATTTAAGTAACAAAACAACACAAGTTCTTCCTTATATGAGAGGGCTTCAAAAAGTTAGAATGTTTCCATTTCTTCTTTGAACTTTTGAAGCCCCCTCGTATGTCTTAAGTGTAAATGAATTAAATGCTCCATGCAAAAGACAGAGAGTGACAAAACAGATAAGAAAACATGACCCGTCCATAAACTAGTCTACAAGAGACACAGGCCAGGTCCAAAGATACCACAAGACTGAACGTGAAAAGATGGGAAAGAAAATTCCACACAAACAGCAACCACAAGAAAACAGGGGTGGTCATATTGATTTCAGAAAAATATAGCTTTCAATAAAAACCCATTTTGAGATGAAGCACAAAATATATTAATATAGGGAACAACCCAGCAAAAAATATGTAACAATCATAGACATATGCACCCAACATCAGAGCACTAACATGCATACAGCAAAAACTGACAGAACTAAAAGGAGGTAGAGACAATTCTCAATCATTAGTAGGAGACTTCAAATACTACAGTAAATACTGGACAGAACTTCCAGAAAAAGGATCAGTAAGAAGATAAAGGATGGCCATATACAAATTACATCTAATGGGCAAATACACAAAACTTTCTACTCAAAAGTAGAACAGTATACTTTTTCTCACGCACATGTGACATTTTCCAGGACAGACCACGTTAGGTCACAAAACCAGCCTCCCAAATTTTAAAAGACCGAAATGATACAAAGTTTCTTTTCCAACCATAGAATAATAATGGTAGAAATAATACAAGGAAAATAACACAAATATGTGGAAACTAAATAACATACCATTAAATATTAAACTGAAATTCCTAATTTTAAATCTATAACTATTAGTGATATAATGTGACATTTTAACAAGCCATGACCCAATCGTAGAGGGGAATTTATGCTTTCTAATGCAACCTAATTCTGCACAAATATTAAAAC